CCAGGTTGAGCTGTTGTTCAGCATCTTAGCTGTAGAGGGCAGTGTCACTGGCCCTCATATGTGGGATCCGAACCGGGGCCCTCTGGTGTCCCAAGTCAGCTCTTAACCATCACACCACTCGGCCGGCCCTTACAATTCTTTAAAATTGTAAAAAAACCATTCTTAGCTTGTGAGCTATATAAAAATAGGCCATGAGTCAGATTTGGCCTTAGGGCAATAATTTCTCAATTCGTGGGTATAGCTTTCTTTATAAAAATAACTAACGAGTGTCAAATGGTTGCTGGACTTATTATGGTGATCACTTCTTTAGCATAGGGCATAAAATCAATAATGTAGTAATAACACTGTATAGTGCTTAGTGGGTACTGTTGAATAACTATGATGTACACCTGAAACTAATATTGTCTGCTAGCTGTGTTTTAATAAAAAATCTTTTTAAAAAAAGTAACTAACAAAATCTTAAATTTACCCATTCTTTGACAGAAATAGTTATTGGAAATATAACTCAGTATTGTGAAAAAGAACTCAAGGAGATGAATTAAGCCCAAGCTATAGTCCTTGCAAGAATATTTATGGGCCAGCCAAGTGGCTCAGTTGGTTAAGAGTTAGCTTAAGAGTGCGAGCTCTGAGCAACAGGGTCGCAGGTTCAATTCTCACATGGGCCAGTGATGCTGCGCTTGAGCTGTCAACAGGTGGCAGGATGGCTCAGCTGGTGAGAGCATGTGCTCCTAACAAGACTGCCTGTTTGATGTTGGGCTCCTAACAAGACTGCCTGTTTGATGTTGGGCTATGCCCACCCGCAACTAAAGACTGAACTCAGCACCTTGAGCTGAGCTGCCACCTAGATGGCTCAGTGGCTAGAGTATGCGCTCTAAACAACAAGGCTTGCTGGTTCAACTCCTGCGTGAGATGGTGGCTACACCCACCTGCAACTAAGATTGAACACAGCACCTTGTGCTTAGAGGCCATGAGCTGCCAAAGGGCAGCCAGATGACAACTGGCGCCTTCCACAACTAAGGCTGAAGAACAACAACTTGGCTGGTCCCCTTCCCCAATTCCCCAACACTGTTTCCCTCCCCCAATTTCCCAATTAAAAAAAAAAAAGAATATTTAATCACCGAGTTGGCCTCATGAAATTCACTGCAGCTGTGAGAAGTGTGCATCACTGTCCTCAAGACACAGGCCCAGAGGGCTGCACCTACCTCCATGCCTCCCAGCCGGTCTGCAGATCCTTTTCGGTAGGTGTTGAGGTACCCATCCACCAGGGTGGTGAGATCAGACATCATCTCATCCAGGAGTACCTGGCGAAGGGGTAGCAGGTAGGTCGCTTCCAGGGCCAACATTTTTAGTAAGAAGGGTGAAAGAGGTCGTGTGAACCATACTTCTGGATTTTCCTAAAGACACCAAAAGAATTCTCTGTGAACAGTAAGCAAAACCTTAAAGATGATAACTGTTTATTTAAGTGTTGCTTAACTTAAAACATTATTACTGCCATTTTCTTCAATTATTACCTTCTACTTTCACACTCTGGCTAGCCTTCTGAAAACACAAACACACACACACACCACTTATGTGTGTATACTGTGTGTGTGTGTGTGTCTATGTGTGTGTGTGTGTCTGGGGAAAAGAGTCAGGGGAGACAGGGAGGGAGAGAGAGAAAGAGAGAGAGAGTTATCATCAGGTCTTCTCATTTAAAACTGGAGGCAGCAAACTTGCTTATCTGGACAAAATTGTAGCCAATATGGTCATGACCCAAGTTCATATGCAAGACTATCAGGCGTTAAAGAAAATCTACCTTACTTTGGGAGAAATAATTGGAATAATTTTTGTTCCATTGCCTTAGCCCAAATCTCAACATAATTCCTGCTTGTCCCAACTTGAACATTATTTAGAATGCTTTTTAATTGATAAACAACTCTGGATCCTGGCTCTTATCCACTTGAGGCCCAACAAACTGTTACCATTCGGAAAAACTAAGATTTTGGAAATGCTCATGAGCTTATATGGCAGCTATCATTTCTCTACAGATTATGCTGATAATCCCACTCAGAAAACACCTTAAAAAATTAATGTCATATGGGCCATCCTTTAATACTCACCTGAATCAGCTTTTGTCTCTCTTCTAGAAAGGAGAGATATTTAGGGGCTACTTTAAGGTGTCTTATTAAACTCTCCTGTAAAGTACTGATGCAGTTTGGAAGAAAGCCACCTGTTTCCATGGAAAATTGAAGGACATCTGCCACCTGTGGCATTAAAAAAAGACAAACAGACCAGTCTGCAGAATATATATAGCAAGCTATCGCCTGGCAGAAATATATTTAGGAAAATGTCTTTAAATACCATTTTCCCGAAGGACCCACATGATAGAAAATGCCATCAGAAAATTTAAAGTTGTTCAGTCAACTTATTCTGAAAAATTAGGGGGAAAAAAAAAAGAAAAAGGATCACCTAACTTTAATGTGTCCTTGTCTACTTTCTTTTCCAATTCTTTCATTTGCCTGCCTTCTGGTTATTTATTACTCTTTGGTGTCTGGGAAATGGGGAAAGGACGATAAAATTCAAGAATTACTTTTATTAATTGGAATAATTATCTGTGTGTGGTTGGCTAAATAATGGCCCCCAAAGATATCCAATTCTTAATTCCTGGAACTTAGAAATGTTATTTTATACGGCAAAATGGACTGGGCAGCTGTGATTAAAGTAAGGATCTTGAGATGGAAAGATTATCATGAATTATCCAGGTGGGCCCTAAATATAATCACAAGTGTTCTTATAAGAGGGAGGCAGAGGGAGATTTTACTACAGTCAGAGGAGAAGGCAGTGTGACGATAGCAGCAGAGATTGGAGTTAAGCACTTTGAAGATTGAAAGGAGCACCAGCCAAAGAATATAGGTAATGAAGGCAAGGGAACAGACTCTCCCCTCAGAGTCTCCAGAAGAAATGAGCCTTGCTGACACCTTGACTTTAGCCCAGTGAAAATGATTTCAGACTTCGGATCTCTAGAACTGTAAGAGAGTAAATTTATGTTGTTTTAAGCCACTAAATTTGTGGCAATTTGTCACAATTTGTGGTGATTTGTTATAGGAAACTAATACACTGTATTAAAGGATAACAAATTGGAAAAACTCTCAATTCTCGTTTCTTGCACTATGGAAATCTGAAAAGCAAAATATGGAAAGATATGCCAATGTCTTCATTACACAATACGTATGAGGTCTAATCAAGGAGCCTGATGGCCTCAAGGGAACACGGAACAATTCTCTTCCATTTTGGAACAAGCACAGAAGCAATCTCTATATAGTGAAAGATCCTGAAAGAAGGCCCAAAGGAGCATGTAAACAAGAGAAGTGGCATAAAGTTCATTAAGAGCAGACACATAAAGAGCAAACCTGAATTACAAATAATAACATGAAATTGAACTTTTAGGAATTTCTATTCAAAAACAACTGGCCAACTCATTACTTTAATCCCTCTCCAAAGGCTTTAGGCTTAGGTATACAAGATCTCCCTTTCACTGGCATAAACCTATTAGAAGAACCTTATGAAAACTAGCGATTCTACTGCTCTCACAGCCAAATCAGCTCTAAGAGCTAGTGAAGCCTACAAATCTCTACAGCAGACAAAGATCATGTATCTTCAGGCTATCTGGGGCCATAATAAGCTTTGGGAACATATCTAGGACAACCTGCATCCCTGAGCTAGATGCCAACTAGCCACTAACCTTGACTGATACATTTGTGGTAAAGGCAGAGATGTGACTGTTCGCCTCATACTAGTGTCCCATGTCAGACTTCTGAATGATCCCCAAATTGTTTGAGTTTCTGAATGCTATAGAGTATGGAGCTTGCTTCTTATTTGACAAATTCTGGAGCAAAATGAGGGGGGAAAATCCAAATACTTCTAAGTACCTTTTCTGAAGTGCTTTTACAGTTCACCAAATGTTCTCACATATTGTACAAACATCTTACATGAGAAGTGGGCAGGAATGGGGCACACACACAGAAAGACTTTCAACCACTCATCAGATGAGGCCTATTTTCTACAGGAGCTGTGTACACTGGATTGAATTCATGTACCTGTGTATCGAAGACATTATTCAGCAAAATTCCATACTGATGAGAGAGGCAATCAGAAAGCCAACGACAATCATGGATAACCTAAGGAATCAGAAGACAGGGACAGCGTAATCAACATGGTTGCTAATTTTACTAGCAGAGGAATCAGTTTACACACTCACCTTCAAAATTCTCTTGTCTTCTAATACCATTTGAAGTCCATTGTTAAAAGCACGACTTCCCAGAAGGAAAATATCAAATAAATAAACTCGGCTATTTGTGGCCACCTACAATAGACCATCCGGACACACATTATAGGACAAGAACTAGGGAAGGGGATCTGAGGATCAAGAAAGAACGTGTGACAAAATAGTTAACATTCTCTCTTTCAAAGTACACAACAGGAACTCAGTGATTCTTAGGGAAAATGGGTTTGCATTGATCTTAAAAAAAAAAAAAGACACTATCACTGTGACTTTCAAAAGGAAGGAAACAGAAAAGCTGGTGATTTAGCCTTTCACTTTTCACAGTCCCAGCTTTAATGTTTTACCAGTCTTACTTATGGCATTCTAATACCCAGGGATTACAGGTTTAAGGGGAATGAACAGCATTTCATTGTTAATAACACAAAATGCTATTTTATTTTTCTGAGTTCCATAATAGGCATGAGTGTTAGGTATTACATAAAATTACTCAGAAGAGAAGATCCCTGCCCATTAGCAATATAAAACAGGCAACAAATACACTGGCACAAATGGTAGGATGTAAAACACTGTTTTATAGAGCAATTTTATACAAGTATAAGATCTAGATTATTTCTGATCATAAAAGTCACAAAGGCAGTATAGCTGGATAATCTAGAGTCAGAGAGTGGAAGGCAAAAAAAAAAAAAAAAGATCCAAATGGGCCTACGGGCCCAGCCACCTGATACTCTGATACCATCTTTGTCATTTCAGGAGCTAACTGTTGTTACAGCTATAATTGCCAGGCCTACCTGGCATATTCTCAGACCCTTCATGATGTCTGCTAGAATCTGACATCTAAAATAGTCAATCCCTGCTCTTTTCCTCCACCTCTTTAGCTACAAAAATTGAATAGACACTAAAAGTTTAGAAAGTAATTCTCTGTTATACTATAAGCTCTATGAGGGAAGAGATTATGTAGAAGTCACCACTATACATGTAACAACTAGAAAGAGCCAGGTACATGGATGGCTGTAATACATTTCTTTAGTGAATCAATGCATGCCATACAATATTCCCCTACATTTTTTCATATGCAAAAAATGTACATGGCTCTAATGATATGCATTCAAATCTATATCCTTTTTCCATTCATAAACTTCCGAACATTTTTCTTTATTGCATCTGTCATCAATTTTTGGCAGCAACAAGAGTTATGAAATGTACTGGAACATCTCCTGTTATGAACTATGTAAGTGGTTTCTGATTTTTCACCATTATAAAAGATGCCAAGATGAATATGTTCTCACATAATTTTGTCTTCATATTTTGAATTATTTAGGATAGATTTCTAGAAGTGGGCCAAAGAATATAAAAAATTTTATGACTCTCAACGAATATTTGCTACCTTCGTCTTAAGACATATTATTATATCTGAAAATATCTGACCACAGATGAACAATAAACATTTAAATAATTTAAACTTAAAGAGGATTAGTAGGAAATGCTGATAGAAGGGAAACAGATTAGGGAAAACAAAACATAACAAACAAAAATAAATAAAGGTTAAGGAATTAAACGTGCCAGACACTAAGAAAAATGAGGAGCTAGAAACGGGGGTGGGCGGCTGAAGGAGAAAGAAGCCTCCAAGTTATCCCCTCCACTCCCACAGAGGACAGATGATGTATTCTTTGGATAAATCCAACCAGAGAGGCTCTAGTGTTGGGAATATAAGAAAGACATAGAGGAGGCTTTGGTCATGGACAGGAAAATGAAAGTCTGCACACTGACTTGTGAGCCTCCAGACCTCTTCCCTTGCAGCTTGCAGCCTTCAGAACACCAGCCTGATTGGAATCGTAGAGTAGACGGCTCCAGGGAAGGTGGTTTCAAGACAAAAATGCAACATAGCTTAGCCAGACAGAGGTAAGCATGTGGAAAAACTATACTGAGGGGAAGATATGGGAAGGCTTAGTCACAGGTGCAAAGAAAACAAAGCTACTAGGATGAAGCAATTATCAATTCTATGAAAAACAAGTTGTGCAAGAAAAGAAACAATCTTATTTGGCTCAGCAGGGAACAACAGTTACACAGTCATAATCACATATAGCCTGAATCCTGTCTTAACCAAAAATTGGTATATAACTAAATTGGAAGGATCCAGGGAGGCATGGATACTATAAAGGAGCAAAATCTTTATTTACCACAATAAAAGTTAGTAGAAAATTTGTAAAACTGATGAATAAAGAGAGAGCAATAAGCATGTTATTAGAAAAAGGGAAATAGTAGAAACATTTCAACATGTTAAAAGTAGGTGCCTCTATATTTTTTGTGTCTGGTGTCCCAGTTTGGGGGGATTCTGTCCAGGAAATGCCCCTTGATCACCTGGCTCTGGTGGCTGGGGAGTGAGGGCTTGCATTCCTGGGACCCCATGGGACTGTGGCAACCTGAGAGACAATTCTTGGCAGGCTACCAACCCCAGAGCTGCAGAGAGTAAATTGGGACACACTCCCCAGGTTTTCTGTTAAGAAGGTCTTTATACTTATCTTGGAAATTCAGCCTGAGGGGCAGGTTTCAGGCTTGGCACACATTTTGTGGCCTACAGAGCTGTTCTCAAGGACTGTAGGCTGTGAACTCCCCATAAGACCATTATTTTATTTCATTTTATTTTTATTTTTATTTTTTTTAGCTGAGCCATCCTGCCACCTGTTGGCAGCTCAGCGGCAGCTCAGCTTGGGCTGCAAGACCATTAAAGCGCTCTTCACTTTTTTTTTTTTTAAGATTTTATTGGGGAATTGGGGGAGGGGAACAGCGCTGGGGAATTGGGGAAAGGGAACAGACAAGTTGCTGTCCTTTTGTTCTTCAGTCTAGTTGTAGAAGACCTAGCTTCACTGGCCCATGTTGGTATTATGATCATTGTGCATGTTGGTATTATGATCATTGCGCTCTTTCTGGCTGAGGCAGATGGGTAACCGGCCAGCCGCTCATGGCGGCTCATGGCAGCTCACCGACTGCTGGCTGCTCATGGTGGCTCACGGCAGCTCACCGACTGCTGGCCGCTCACACTGGCTGCCGGCCACTCACAGTAGCTCATGGCACCCCACTGCAGCCTACACAGTTGCCAGCGACTCATGGCAGCCCAGTTCCAGGTTGAGCTGTTATTCACCATCTTAGCTCTAGAGGGCGTAGCGTCACTGGCCCATGTGGGATCCAAACTGGCGGCCCTGTTGCTCAGAGCTCGCACTCTGCTCCCAAGCCAACTTTTTTTTTTTTTTAAAGATTTTTTTGGGGGAATTGGGAGATGGGAACAGCGCTGGGGAATTGGGGGAAGGGGAACAGACAAGTTGCTGTCCTTTTGTTCTTCATTCTAGTGGTGGAGGATATTGCTTCACTGGCCCAAATTGGCACCATCACTGCTCTCTTCCCAGGTGAGGCAGATCAGTCGCCGGCTTCTGGACGGCCTCTCACAGCGGCTGCTGGCCGCTCACGCAGGCTGCTCGCTGCACACGGTAGTCCATGGCAACCCACTGCAGCAGGAGCTGCAGCCTACACCGTTGCCAGCAACTCACGGCAGCCCAGTGCCAGGTTGAGCTGTTGTTCACCATCTTAGCTGTAGAGGGCAGTGTCACTGGCCCTCATATGTGGGATCCGAACCGGGGCCCTCTGGTGTCCCAAGCCAGTTCTTAACCAACGTGCCACTCGGCTGGTCCCCAAGCCAACTTTTAACCAATGAGCCATTCGGCTTGCCCTCTTCACTTTTTTTCATTCTGTTTTCTTTTTGCTGCTCTGATTGGTTGAGTTCCACTGCCTTCTCTTTGAGTTGACCAATCCTTTCTTTTGCTTCATCTTGTCTGCTATTGAATACCCTCTCTAGTGTAGTTTTCATTTTGGTTTCTGTATTCTTCAGGTCTGTGACTTCTATAGTATTTGGTACTTTCTTATATTATCCACCTCTTTGTAAAGTTCTTACTGTGTTCATCCATTCTTCTCTCCTGTTCAGTGAGCATCTTTATGACCATTACTTTGAACTCTTTACCAGGTAAATTACTTATGTTTCATAAGGTGGGGTTTTTTTTCCTGAGGTTTTATCTTGTTCTTTTGTTTGGAACATATTCCTTTGTTTCTTCATTTTCCTTGATTCTCTCTGTTGGTTTCTATGTAGTAGATGAAATGGCCATGTCTTTTGATATAATGGGACCCCACACCTGACATCTCCCAGGTCTAGGAAAATAAAAAATGATGTGGCAGAACTCTGCTGTGGAATGCTACCAACCAAAAGGAAAGATGAGGAACTCTTCATGTATGTAACATGAGAGAACAGAGCTGGGAAAGATCTCAAGTAAAGACTGTGAGACAGTAATGGTGATTATAATGGTGAATCTCTAAAGAGCTAGAAACTCTTTTCTTTTGAAAAGAATAAACTGAGTACTAAGAGAGTGAAAGACATTCCAAACCAGTTATAGGACAGTGACACTGGGGTGACATAAATAAGACAATTAAAATAGATTTACCAGTGAATCCACAAAAAAGTTTTCAAACACCTATCTTTTACCTGAAGCCAACATAGTTTCCCATGACGACACACATTAGCTCCTTCGGCTGCCACACTTAGGACATTCTGCTTCTTGATGTGGAGCATCTGGTAAGAAAAGGAAGAAAATAAAATTCTTCAGGGAATTAATTTTGCAATTATGACATCATGAATAGTACAAGTAAAATGGCTAGCAATAAACAAATTGGATCATATTTTTTAAACTCAGAAAATCTGACTAATCCAAAACAAGAGTCTGCTTCTCACACACATACACACGCATCACACTGAATACTTTTGATCCTCTTTTTAGTTTTTGCAAAATGGTTCTACAACTGGAAAATAAATCATTCATATCCCAAATGCTAATAAGAGTTGAAAACTCAGGTACCTTTTGTTATCACTGAGGCGTCATCAAAAGATTTCTAGTCTTTATGACCTGATTACTCATGCAAAGAACAGCGCCCAAACACAGGGCAATTTACTGTACCTGAAGGGAACTCACAGAGTAGCTGAGTCTCCCAGCATCTACTGTTCAGAATGAAGAGAAATAAGGACTCAACAGGTCTCTTAAAGTCTTGGATTCATTAAGTTACTCAAAACTGAAACAGTGATATCCCAGGAACACATGCTGGTCCTTTGATTATCTATAATCTTATCCTATTTCAAAACATTATATAATTCTAAGATCCTTAATCCACAATCTATGAAAATATCCATATGATACAAGACTCTCCCCATTTTACAGGTAGGTAAATTTCTCAAGAATATGGTGGGCCGGCCGAGTGGCGCGATGGTTAAGAACTGGCTTGGGACGCCAGAGGGCCCCGGTTCGGATCCCACATATGAGGGCCAGTGACACAACTTGTCTGTTCCCCATCCCCAATTCCCCAGCTCTGTTCCCATCCCCCCAATTCCCCAATAAAAATCTTAAAAAAAAAAAAAAAGAATATGGTAACTCACAGCAACACAATATATTCCTTCAGAGAACATAAAGTGTTCTATGTACTGGGTATGTTTCACTCCTGATGGATAAAGGGAACTGAGTTTCAGTTCCATCCTCAGTCAACAAGAAGGCTGCAGAACTGGGAACAAAAGCTGTATTTCCCTACCTATAAGAATTTCCAACTACTTCTTCGCATTTGCAAAGCGAAAGTTCTTATCCCAATTTTTGTCGTTGTTTTTTTCATGGACCCTTTAAAGAATCTGTTGAAGGGCTGGCTGAGTGGCTCAGTTGATTAAGAGTTCGCTCAAGAGCGTGAGCTCTGAGCAACAGTGGTTCAAGTCCCAGCCTGAGCTGAGCTGCCACTGAGCTGCCAAAAGGTGGCAGGATGGCTCAGCTAAAAAAAAAAATTGTTGATATATAAAGAATTCTTATAACTGAATTTAAAAATGGGCAAAAGAATAGACATTTCTCTGAAGAAGTTATACAAATAGCTAATAAGCACATGAAAAGGTGCTCAACATTATTAGCTATCAGGGAAACGCATATCAAAACTACAATGAGATACTGTTTTATAACACTAGGATGGCTATAATCAAAATGACTGATAACAACAGTGTTGGTAAGAATGTGGTAAAACTCACATATCCTGCTGGTGGGAATGTAAAATGGCACAGCAGCTTTGGAAAATTATGACCAATCCACAAAAAATTAAATATAGAGTTACTATATGACCTAGCAATTCCACTCCCAGCTATCTATTCAAGAGAGATGAAAACATATGCCCACACAAAAAGCTTGTATGTGACTGTTCATAGCAGCAGTATGCATAATAGCCAAAAAATAGAAACCATCCAAATGTCCATCAAATGGTGAAAGGATAAATGAAATGTGGTATATCCATACCAAGGAATGTTTGGCAATAAGAGAAATACTGATACAAGCTATATTATAGATGAACCTTGAAAATGTTTATGCTAAGCAAAAGAAGCCAGTCACAAATGGCCACATATTGCATGATCCCCTTTATATGAAATGTCCTAGGCAAATCCGTAGATGCAGAAAATAGTTTAGTGGTGGCCAGGGGTTGGGGAACTGGGGAGGGATTAGAGGTGATAGCTAAGGAATATGGGTTTTTTTTTGGGGGGGTGGTATTAAAAATGTTCTAAAATTCATGGTGGTGATGGGTATATAACTCTGTAAATATGCTAAAAGCCAGAGAAATGTACATCTTAAACTGATAAGTTTTATGGCATGTGAATTATATCTCAAAAACACAGTTTAAAAAAAAGAATCTGTAGGGCCGGCCGAGTGGCTCAGTTGGTTAAGAGCTCGCTCAAGAGTTTGAGCTCTGAGCAACAGCGGTTCGAGTCCAGCCCGAGCTGAGCAGCCGCTGAGCTGCCAACAGGTAGCAGGATGGCTCAGCTAAAAAAAAAAAAAAAAGAATCTGTTGAATGCTAACTCTCCCCTAAAAAATGCAGCCATGCATACATGAGCATAAGCTTACATTCTAAACACAAAGCCTAATGACTCCCCTGAAGTCCATCTGCGAACTGTACTCTAGGCTAAATAATTAATACTGCCACGTCTCAAATTAATAAATGATTATAGAGAAATTGCCTACATAGAGCATCTAGAATGATCTTTTTAAAAATATAAGAACTTCTAACTCTCCTCTAAAAGTGCCAATGGCTGTCTAACTCACTCAAGTCAAACTCAAAATCCTTACAATGTCTAAACAGCCCTGCATGATCTGCCCCGTCCCCTTTAATTTCCTATCACTCTTCTTCGCTGTGGTCCTGCCACCACACTGACCTCCCTGCTGTTCCTCCACACAGCCAAGTGTGCTTCAGCCTCAGGACCTTTGCACTTTCTAAGTACACCTTCTTTAAGTTCTTTACCTGGATAGCCACATGACTAGCTCCCTTCTTTCAGGTCTCTATTACAAAGTCACCTCTTCACAGAGGTTTTCTGTCTACTCTATATAAAAAAGGAACTCCCTGTCACTTTATTCACCATACCACACTTTATTTTTCTTCATATAATAGCACTTATACCAGCTGATATACAATTATTTGTTTGTTTTCTTGCATTAAAATGAAAGCTCCTTGAGGTCTGGAACTTTGTCTTGATTATTGTTTTACGCCAGACCTCAGAACAATGACTGGTATATAGTAGGCATCAAATATTTTGTTTAATTATTAGGGAAAACATCAATGATCTTAAATGAGAGACAAATTTGTGAGACATAGACATGATACCAATACGCGGACAATATTGGGGATGATTGAGGGCAATACTTACAGCAGCACCAAACTTCTGCTGGAACTGATCAATGACTGTGTATGTCACCTCCTCTTCCTCTACAGGAGAATGATGGTATTAGATATGCTTGTCTTCCTTGGCAATAAAATAGCCCTCCCAATAATTTTAGCCATATTCATAAACTCCTACACTATTGTAGCTCAGATGTCTGATGTTATTTCATTATCACCTGCATCAGCCCACACACACAGTGAACACTATATCCTGTTTGCCAACTGAGAATAAACAAAAGCCCCACCAATAATAATCTTATGAATTGGACTATTTACTCATTTCCTGTGATAATCTAGTAATGTTTTCCTCCTGATAGGTTTGTTTTGAATACTTCAAGACATACACTTTTTAAAAGCATGTTCATAGGAAAAAATAACAGTTTAAAATAAATTAGTCCTGGAGATGGGCCAATCTCCACACTTTTGGAATTCTCTGGGTCCTGAAAGTTAATTATTTTTTAATTGTGTAATTTAAAAATTACAGATATAGCATAACATATAGTTCTTCAGCTCCCAGCCTCTGAAACTTTGGAGTGCCACAGGACACAGTCCATGTAACTTTTTCTTTTTTCTATCTGTACTCACTCTCTTAGTGATCTCTCATCTAGTCTCAAGGCTTTAAATATCATCTATATCATAGGCTAACTCTTGAATTTATAGCTCCATCTCATACCTTTCTCTTCATCTCTAGGCTTACATTCAAACTTCAGTTGACCTAAACTAAACTAATCAACTCCCCCAAACCTTTTCCACCCATAGTCTTTCCCATTTCAGTTTAATACTTCTCCATAATAGCAACTCTATACTTCAGGCTGCTCAGGTCTAAACCCCTGAAGTCATCCTTGATTCCTCTCTTTCTTTCACACCCACATCTAATCTGTCAGTACATCGTGTATGCTCCACCACAACACACATCCAGAATTTGACCACTTCTTATCCAACCATACTGCCACCACTACGGTCTAAGCCACACCCATTCATCTTAAAATTATTCCTATAGCCTCCTAATGGATATTCATGCTTTTACCCTTGCCCTTCTTTCAGTATCTATACAACATCCAGAGTGATCCTGTTAAAACAGAAGTCAGGGCCAGCTGACTAGCGCGTTGGTTGAGAGCTGGCTTGGGATGCCAAAGGGCCTCGGTTCGGATCCCACATAAGAGGGACAGTGACACTGCCCTCTACAGCTAAGATGCTGAACAACAGCTCAACCTGGAGATGGGCTGCCGTGAGTCACCGGCAACACCGTAGGCTGCAGCCCCTGCTGCAGTGGG